CTCAGTGAAATAGAGGGACTAGAGCATCGCCTAGTGGTCAGTGTGGGCATAGCAATGACCAAAACTCAATAATCAGCTTGGGAGATGAAGGGCAAGGGGTGGGCGGGGGGCAGTGTATGTCTGGCCCAGGTATGCCCCTAACAGTGCAGTGAATACACTCTGGCATATTCATGGCAATGGACAACAGCTCTTAGAGATTTACCAATTTGAAGCTGCAGATCCCCACCTCCCACAAAAAAGAATCACTCCATTGTTTGGTCCTGACATAGCATGTCCCCTGGGGTGCCAGAAAGGCAGACCAAGTCCTGACCAGGCAGGGTTAATGCTCAAGGAGAATCCCTCCCATTTACTGGCTGTAATGGCAGCGAAATCCTACCTAGCCTGGGTAGCTCTCACATCTGCTCCCATCTCCCTCCACATTGCCGCTGTCTCATCTCTTATCCCTGCATTGTCTCTAGGGTCTAATCAGACCCCTTCTGATCCATTCCCACCTACAAAGGTGTCAGAAGGATCCTTCTCAAACACCAATCAGACCTGGGCTCAGAGCACTCCCTGGCTCCCAGTGGCTTCCTCACTTCCCTGTGACCTGGCTCCCACCTACCACTCTAGTTTACCTGCATCTCTACATGCTACCCTCTGCCATCTCTTCTATCCATCAGACACCTGTGGAAGCCTCAGCATCATATGCACCCGCTATTCTCTGCCTGGAGCTCCCTGTCCAGTCTTGGTCAGCTGGCTAACTCCTGATCCTTGGAGAACCAGCTCCATCAGCACCTCTGGGCAAGGTATGTGCCCCTTCTCAAGAGCTCCCATCTTCTATCATCACACTGTGCTGTAACTTCTTATTTGTCTTTCTCTCCATTAGACTAGGCCCCCCCTTTTTTTTTTTTGAGATGGAGTCTCACCCTGTCACCCAGGCTGGAGTGCAATGGTGCATCTCAGCTCACTGCAACCTCCACCTCCTGGGTTCGAGCAATTCTCCTGCCTCAGCCTCCTAAGTAGCTGGGATCACAGGCGCCCGCCACCATGCCCGGCTAATTTCGTATTCACCATATTGGTCAGGCCGGTCTTGAGCTACTGACCTCAGGTGATCCCCCCGTCTCTGCCTCCCAAAGTGCTGGGATTGCAGGCGTGAGTCACCACGCCTGGCCAAGGCTGGGCCCTCTTTGAGGTACAATGTCTGATTATGCTGTGATTCTGTACCCAGCCCCACCCCATTCCTAGACTGGGTCCTGGTACCACAATGAACGCTTGCTGAATGAATGAAGGCCCAAGTGGAAGTCCACCACCCATCTGACCATGAGCTCTGGGCCTTGCATTATATACTTTTATGTTTCCAAATGGATTTTATTTTTGTGAACTAACAGTTTTCTAGGTGTGAGACTTCACTGCCACTCCTAGTCTGGAAGTGTCCTAAGGCAGGGCCAAGGCAAGCACCAGGCTGGGTCCCAGAAGTTCCTGGGTAGAGACCACTATTGGAAAAATGGGGTCTCACAAGAGGGGCTCTCCCACTCTGCCACTAGTTGGCTCTTGAAGTGGGCCTTGTCTCTGAGGTGCTCCCCTAGCCGCCCCTCCCTTTATCCCAGGACTTCTGAGGTTCCCACTTCAGCCTTGGTGGTTTGGAGCTGGTAGAGGAACATCTGTCACCTTCTTTTGGAGCCTGCTCATAGGTCAGTGGGGCCAGAAATCAGCAGGGCAGAGATGGGGTGCTCATACATGCTGGGTCCCATTGGTGAGTCAGCGCACCTACTTTCGGAACCAAAGCTTCGGACCTACAGCGCACCTACTGAAAGCTTCGGAACCAAACTTGCTGGGGTGTCACGGGGGTGCAGAAAAGAAAGTGTTTCGTTACCTGCTTGGGGGAAGATTAATGCTTTGATGCTGGATAAACATGTTCCTCTCTTCTCTATCCCCCAGGATAGGTTTCTGGGCTGGAAGGGAACTTTTCCGTCTCATCAAGAGAAATACGCTGCAGGCTGGGGGTGGTGGCTCACCCCTGTAATCCCAGCACTTTGGGAGGCTGAGGCAGGTGGATCACTTGAGGCCAGAAGTTCAAGACCAGCCTGGCCAACATGGTGAAACCCCGTCTCTAATAAAAATACAAAAATTAGCTGCTCATGGTTGCCCACACCTGTAATCCCAGCTACTCAGGAGGCTAAGGCAGGAGGATTACTTGAACCTGGGAGGCAGAGTTGGCAGTGAGCCAAGATTGTGCCACTGTACTCCAGCCTGGGCGACAGAGTGAGACTGTCTCAAAATAAAATAAAAAAATAAAAAGAGGTCGGGTGCAGTGACTCACGCTTGTAATCCCAGCACGTTGGGAGGCTGAGGCGGGTGGATCACCTGAGTTCAGGAGTTCGAGACCAGCCTGGCCAACATGGTGAATCCCCATCTCTACTAATAAAAAAATTAGCCGGGCATGGTAGTCCACACCTGTAATTCCAGCTACTCCGGAGGCTGAAGCAGGAGAATCGCTTAAACCCAGGAGAGCTGAGATTGCACCACTGCACTCCAGCCTGGTGACAGAGCGAGATTCCTTCTCAAAAAATAAAAAAAATATTAAATAAATAAATAAATAAATAAATAAAAAGGCTGGGCATGGTGGCTCACACCTGTAATCCCAGCACTAGGTGGGTGGATCACCAGAGGTCAGGTGTTTGAGACCAGCCTGGCCAACATGGTGAGACCCCGTCTCTACTAAAAATACAAAAATTAGCTGAGTGTGGTGGTGCATGCCTATAATCCCAGCTACTCGGGAGGCTGAGGCAGGAGAATCACTTGAACCCGGGAGGCAGAGCTTATAGTGAGCAGAGATTGAGCTACTGCACTCCAGCCCGCGGGACAGAGTGAGACTCTGTCTCAACAAAAAATAAAAATAAAAAAAGAAATCCATTGCAGCCTTATCTCCGTAACAAGACTAGCAGGCCCTGCTTTCTTTTTTTTTTTGAGACAGAGTCTTGCACTGTCGCCCAGGCTGGAGTGCAGTGGGGCCATCTCGGCTCACTGCAACCTCCACCCCCCGGTTCAAGTGATTCTCCTGCCTCAGCCTCCTGAATAGCTGGGATTAGGTGTCCACCACCACGCCTGGCTAATTTTTTGTATTTAGAGTAGAGATGGGGTTTCACCATGTTGGCCAGGTGGGTCTCAAACTCCTGACCTCATGATTCACCCGCCTTGGCCTCCCAAAGTGCTGGGATTACAGGATTACAGGCATGAACCACCACGCCCGGCCTCAGGCACTGCTTTCATAGTCCTGGTAACCCAGCAATCAGTCACTAGTGGTCTTGGAAAGTTGGCCCCTTTTTAGAACCAAGACCAGTCTCCCTTAAGCTTCTACCATGCAGGACCTTGTCCAAGTTTTATCACTGCCTTTAGATGCTGAAGTCCAGGAGAAGCTAGGGCATCTTGTCAGGACAGTTTACATTCTTTCCATGCTTCCTGGGCCACCCCTGAGAGGGTCAGACAAGCACAACCAAACCCCTTGGCCCTCTCCAGGGACTCATCAAGAGCAGGAATTTGGGGAGAGCAACGAGGGAAAAAGTCTGGATGACAAAGCTCACTGATCCAAAGCTCAAGCAGAGATAACTGCAGGAGAGGGAAACCTCCCTAAAGAGCCCCTCCAGTCAGCCACAGAACGTATCTCTTGTCACCAGCAGGATTTATTTCAGGGTTCTGCCAGCAAAATGACTTATAAATACATTCTTCCGCATCTCCCCCTTTCCAGGGGTGCTGCTGAGTTGCATGGGATGAGATCTACTTCTGAGATCCTGGGGCTGTATCCCACCCCCAACTCACCAGAGCTCTTCCAGCACACAGCACCACCCCCACCCCCCAGCTGGCTTAGAGTTGGGCAGAGAAGCTTATGAGGCTGTTATCTCTCAACAGACAGCTGTGCAGGGCTGGAGGCAGCAGCTTATCAGGAGGCCTGCAGTGATTCACAGCCCAAGTCCCAGCTTCTCTGCTGAATAGTAATTTCCAGCAGTGGATTTGCGCTCAGTCTCTCTCCTCCCCTTTTCCCAAGGGTGTGCTGTCCTTTCTCAGAGAGAGGGCAGCGAAGGGGAGATCCTACTCACGGAGCTGGGGGCTTTGTGCCAGCCTTCTGGGTAAGGTTCAGTTTATTGTCTGGAGGCTGCAGGTTCAGGGACCTCAGCAGGGTCTGCCACCCTTTGCAGTGACCTCCAGGAGAGTTCATCCATGCTCTCCTTCCACTCCTTCCTTTCCCTCCCAGAAAAGCAATGTGCCACTCCCTTTCCCTTAGTGGTGATGTACAGGGGAGCATGGGCCCCCCATGGGCCACAGCCCCTGAAGCCAGGGCCAGCCCGGGAGGGCAGAGTGGGGGAGGAGAGAGGAAAAAGCCAGGGACTGGGAAGTGCCTTGCACCATTTTGAAGCTGTCCAGTCTCTATGCCTGACCCTGAAGACTCCAAAGGATCAGGACGCAAGGCTGGAGGGGAGGGGAGACACAAAGGGCCAGGCCAGAGCTGTCTCTGCACAGGCGGGTGGTTAGAAAAAAATTTGGGGACAGAGCCATTTTTGTGCTTGTTTTATTGGAAGCAAGACTCCAGTTGCAGGGCTGGGGGAGGAGGCCTGGAGAGTTCAGTCCTGGGTCTCCCTCTGGGCCAGCAGGGGGAAAAGGGGTGTTAAAAGAGCTAGAACCCTCAGAGATGCTCCTCTGAAGCAGGGGAAGGAAAACTAGAAAGGAAAACTGTCCCAGGGCGGGGAGTGGAATAGGACCCCCACATCTCAGACTCTCCTACCCTCAAGCAGTCAAGTCTCACCCCCTGCCTTCTCTGTCAACGGTGGGGGTGATTCCAATAACTCTTCTCGGCTTCCGCACTCCAGGTGCCCTTCGTGAATGCTGGGTGGCTTTAACCCTTGGGGGTCCCAATCAAGTTTCCAGAATCCCACTGTCCACCATTCTCCCCCAAAGAAGGTCCCAGAAAAGGTGAAGGTGAAGTTTCGTGTCTTCAGGCAACACGGGCATAAGCAGCAATCATCGCACGAAGTTTCCCTAAGGTCGTCGGGGATCCTCTCTTGCCACTTCTGGGGCCCCTCTCTTGTCGCCTTAAGGTCCATGCTACCTGCCTTGAGGAGCTGTGTCCAGGTTGTGGGTTCCGGAGGACCGAGGAGTGAAAGGCTGGAGGTGCATTTGAGGGTGGAGGCGCTGGCGGAAGATCCCGCCCACAGTCCGGAGTTTTAGGCCGTCCGATCCTCGTCCGCAGCCCCTGGCTCGGGTTGCGATCGCTTCGCGGAGCCTTCTCCAGCTGCGGGTTCCCCTAGGCTCCTCTTGGACGTTGGCGCGGCTGGCGGGGACGACGGACCAGGATCGGGGTTCGGGGGCTGGTAGCCGGGCTGTCGCGGATCCAGCGCGTCCTTGGAAAGTAGGATGGCGAGGCTGGGCACGTTCTTAAGTACGCTGAGACTAGCGACCGGCTCGCCAGGCGTCTGACCCTGCGTGGGCCCAGGCGGGAGGCTCTGCCACACCTCGCGCACGCTCCGGTAGCGCAGCCGCGTGACCTGGTGCAGGCCCGCCAGGCGGCGCTTGAGGATCTCGGCGCACGTGACGGTTTTGGTGGTGGCCCGGCCGCAGCCGCTGAAGACGATGGCGCGCGTGGCTGGCTGCGCCATGCTGGCGGTGGCGAAGGCCATCAGGTTCCGGATCTTGCTGCCTTCCTTGACCCGCATGTGCACCGCGCCGGGCGCCAGGTCTGCGAAGGGGCCAGAGCCCGGGCCGCCCCCCTCGGCCCCGCCCCCCGCTGGCGCCTCTTCGGAGCGCACCTTACGGAAGTTCTCCATGCGCCGTCGTCGCCGGGACCGCCGGCTTTGCCATGGGGCGGCCTCAACCCCGGGGCTGCATGGCCGCCGGTCTCGCCCTGCAAGGGCCCGCAGGGGTAAGGGCGCGGAAGCAGCTCGGACGCCGGCGGGCGGGTTGGGACGGCGCGATCTCGGCCCCACTTCTCTCGAGCGGGCGCCGCTCTACTCCGCGCTCTCGGCGCCCGGTGCTCCGCGCCTTTAGCTGAGGCCCCGCCCCTGCCGCCAGGCCCCTCCCCTGACCCGGCCCGGCCCGGCCCGCCCGGGCCCCAGCCTCACCAGCCTTTCGTGGCAAGTCCGGGTCCTCAGCTACGCGGGCGTGGGAGCGGGCGTGGGAGCGGGCGTGGGAGCGGGCGCGCTGCGGGGCGCATGGGCAGGTGAAGGTGAAGTTCCACGACAATCGCCATCAGCGCTCTCCGAGCCAACCCTCACAAACCGGCAGCCTAAATAAAAGCTGCGCTTGCGGTGCAAACACCAATTCAAACCCGGTATCCTAGCCCTTCCCCGTTGCAGTTGAAGGCCGCCCCTCGTCCCCTCCCAGGGAGAAATTTCCGAGAGGCTTGCTGGGGCCTCGCCCCTCCTCTCCCCGCTGGGGAACACCCCCACCTTTTTTCCGCTCCCAAGTATTCTTGCCTCAAGGACAGCTAGTGCGCGGTCAGCAGAGTGCGGGAGGAGCTGGCTGCGGCTCCACTCCGCGCCTCCCCTCGGGCGACTACGTCGCGGCGTGGTCCTCGCGGGGCGCGGGAGACCCAGGCTTCAGCCTCGCCACGCCTGTCTAGAGCTCGAGGCTCCCGGACCCCCGTCCACCCCTGGGACGTGAGGAGTGAGGCTTTGGGCCAAGCTGTTCCCCGAGGCGCGTGAGGAAGCGGGCGAGACCTCTTCTGAAAAGGCGGTAGGCTCGCTCCACCTATGCCCGAGAGCCCACCCTTAGGGCTGCGCGCTTTAGGGTGAGCCAGGCACGATGCCATGCCAACGTGGCCGCCCCTTTCCTCCCAGGCGAAATTCGATCAGGCAACCTTGGCCCCTTGAGATCCAGTGGGTCTTTTTTCGAACGGAGGCTGGGTGAACGCAGGTTTTAAGAAAGAGAAGGGAGGGGCCGGGCTCGGTGTCTCACACCTGTAATCTCAGCACTTTGAGAGGCCGAGGCGGGCGGATTACTTGAGGTCAGGAGTTCGAGACCAGCCTGGCCAACATGGTGAAAACCCGTCTCCATTAAACATACAAAAATCAGCTGGGTGTGGTGGTGCGCGCCTGTAATCCCAGCTGCTCAGGAAGCTGAGGCAGGAGAAGCGCTTGAACCCGGGAGCTGAAGGCTGCAGTGAGCCGAGATCACGCCACTGCACTTCACCCAGGGTGACAGAGTAAAACTATGTCTCAAAAAAAAAAAAAAAAATTAATTAATTAAATAAAAAAGAAAGAGAAGGGAGGGAAAGCCCATTCTCCATGATGTGATTATTATGCATTGCATGCCTGTATCAAAACATCTCATGTACCCTCTAAATATAGACACCTATTATGTACCCACAAAAATGAAAAAGAAAGACTTTAAAAAAATAAAAGAGAGAAAGAAGGGAGGAAGATGGGGAGTTGAAGCCCTGGGGGCATTATAGAGCTACTGGATGCCTCTCTTTGGAAACTCCTCGGGACCGAAGGAGAGGCCCGGGGTCTCCTGCCGGGTGAGAGAAGCATTAGAGAAAGATGAGATTGGGGCTGTCAGGACTACTGATGGAAGGGAGGGGGTCTGAGAAGGGGCCCTACCCTCCCTAAAACTGCCCTCGGGCCTCGCCTGTCCTCCTTCCACCGGCCCCACGCAGTCAGGACTGAGGGAGGTCGGCAGATCTGGTCCCAGCCAGGGGACTGTGACGGGGCGTGGCGGGGAGGGACACAGAGAGCTGGGGCTGGCAGGCAACCGGAAAAGTGCTGGGGGCATGACGGTGCCTGGGATTGCTGGGCCTCAGTTGGAGATGAGGCTGCCAGACTATATTCTGTCTCCTCCCGCTGTTCTCACCTCCTGGGCATCAGCAGCAGCTCTCAGTCCCTGCTGTTCAGAACCGGGGTTTACCCCCTTACCACTTCTTGGGAGTGGCTGCGGCGCCTGGACCTTGGCACCCCAGTGTGTGAATGGCTGACCCCGTCTCCTGGTGGAATCAGGAACCCTCGGGGTATGCTCCGAACCAGGACTTCGGTCTCGCTCCAGTCTCCGTGGGCCCCACACAGCGGTGGGGGCTAGAGGCACAGCAGCCTTGGGAAGATACAAAGACTGTCCGCAGCGCGTAGCGGGGCGTGGAGAGCCGAGGGCTGTGTAAGGTCAGGCCCTGAGAAAAAGTCCCCGAAAGGCTGGAAGTAACGTTGGAACGGGCTGGTTGTGGAAGAAGCGAGCTCTCCGTCCCCGGGGCTATGCAAGCTTGGGCAGCAAGATCACTTGGAAGGGATTAGGCGGAGTTCTGTCATTTGGAGGAAGAGTCCTGGGAGCTTCGGGTTTGTGTAGGGCGAGGACAGGGCGGTTCTGCGTCCGGCCAGGTTGGCCCTCTATGACCCCACCGCCCCCACCCTCCTAAACTGCTGTAGAACACTCGCATTCACTGCTCTCCACAGTCGGTGAAGGGAGAACGCCGAAAAGGCCCGCATCCCCTCCTGCCGGTCCCCTCCTCTTCCCCCGCTCCCTCTGCAGCACTTAAAATGTAAATGTACATCGTGATTAGCCGCGGGGTCGCTAATTACAGCTGAAGCCATTCATTACACTGTCAGCGCGCGTCGCAGCCCGCCGGCTGTGCGCTCCCTCCTGGCCGCGGAGGGGCGCGGAGGGTGGGGGCGGGAGATGAGGGGAGTGAGGGCGGAAGGATGGGGTGCTGTGAATTAGGGTAATGTAGCAGGCCCGGAGGAAGCTGGAGTGGGAGAGAGCGGGCAGCGAGCAGGGGAAACAGGGTGGGCGGTGAAGGACTGGGCGGGGTGGCCAGGAGAGAGGAGAAACGCGGGAGGCAGGAAGGAATTGGGGCATGAAGTAGTGAGGACACAGGCAAAGGGACTGTATGAGGGGGGAAACAGCGTAGGGGACATGGCGAAGGGAGAAAAAGCTGTGAAGAGGGTGGGAACCCCAGTGAGCGGCCAGAGTCAGAGGAGGGGAGCAGAGGGCTCAACTTCAGAAAGGCTGGTAAATAAAGTAGAGCATCAGTGGTGCACACCACACAATGGTTAGAAAAGTGGAATCAGTCAAGATGTTGTGTTAAAGGAGCTGGGTGCCAGCCATACACACAGTAGGGGAGCATTTATTTCCGTGTGTGTTTATAGATGTAAATGTATTTTTAAAATATCTGCAAGAAAACAGCACACTGACCTCTTGTTACCGCATTAAGTTTTCATTACCTTCTTTAAGAAAAGAACTATTAAATATGAATACAAAGTTAAATACAGAGTCTTGGAGCAGCTTGTATAAATGAGCTACTGACCCTGAAGCTTCATTTTCTATTAGCTTCTTTCTGCCTCTGTGTGACCTGGGACAATTTACTTAACCCATTTGCCTTGGCTTTGTCATCTGTAAAATGGGGCTAATTATAGTAATCTACCTCACAGAGTGATTATGAGACAGCCACCTTGGAACCTTGGCTGCTAAGTTCTTGGGGAATGTTAGCTGTTACTATTTTTCATATATTATTTGTGATTAAAATAAATTTTAAAAAAATTTAAAGGGATTGGGGAAAGAAAACTGGTGAAAAGGAAAAGAAATTGGGAAAGCCTCAGAAATAATAGCTGTTTTCACTCACAGTGACCTGGTGAGTGGCAAACTAGACTCCTTTCACCCTGGGAGGAGGTGTTGGTGTAGCTAGACTAGAGCCCAAGCCTAGCCAATACATCTCTGTTAAGGTTCCCTGGGACCTTTCCAGCAGCACACCCTACTTCCTGTGGACAAATCTCTCATGTTCACACTGAAGGGGGATCCCTGGTACAGCCCCTCTCCTCTGTCTCCTGTTGCAGGAGGAGGATGAGGAGCTCTTTTTTTTTTTTTTTTTTGGTGATGGAGTCTGGCTCTGTTGCCCAGGCTGGAGTGCAGTGGCAGGATCTCCACTCACTGCAAGCTCCGCCTCCCAGGTTCACCCATTCTCCTGCCACAGCCTCCCGAGTAGCTGGGACTACAGGTGCCCGCCACCACGCCTGGCTAATTTTTGTATTTTTAGTAGAGATGGGGTTTCACTGTGTTAGCCAGGATGGTCTCGATCTCCTGATGTCGTGATCCGCCTGTCTCGGCCTCCCAAAGTGCTGGGATTACAGGCATGAGCCACCGCGCCCAGCGAGGTGCTCTTAAAACTGTGATCCTAGTCCCAGCCTCTTTGGGCAGGGACTTGGAAGCTTTCGAGTAGAGTCAGGAATCAGAAAGTTAGCAGGGCCAGAGGGAACTCAGATTTAGCAGGCACCCACCGAGTGCCCAGCATTGGGTCAGATGTGTTCAATCTCTACAGTCTTCCTTTCCAGGAAGGCATCATCATTGTTTGACAGATGTGAAACTGAGACCCAGAGAGGTCTCAGTTGCTCTATGTACCACAGCTAGAAAGCAGCAACCACAGATGTTTGAAACGAGAATTCTGACTCCCTTTACTATCTCAGCTGAATATAAGATAAAAATAAACTTTTAAATGACTCACACTGCCCAAAGGGGTTAGCTTTGGGAGATGAGGGTGTTTCCACAGTGGGAAAGATGTGTTGGTGATCTGTTCTGCATAAAAATTACCCCACAGCTCAGCAACTTAAAACAGCAAACATTTGGCCAGGTGCAGTGGCTCACACCTGTAATCCCAACACTTTGGGAGGCTGAGGCTGGAGGATTGCTAGAGACCAGGAAGTTGAGACTGCAGTAAGCTGTGATTGCACCACTGCATTCCAACCTGGGTAACAGAGTGAGACACTGTCTCAAAACAAACAAACAATAAAACCCAAAAACAATCATTTATGATTGTGAGATCACACAATTTCTGAGGGTCAGAAATCCAAGAACAGCTTAAAGAGGTCTCAGCTAGCTCAGGGTCTGTCATGAGGCTGCAGTCAAGATGTCAGCTGGACATG